CCTCACCTGGGCACCTCCAAACCCAATACAGGTAGCAGCCATCTGCACATCATTCTGTAGCTTATGCTATGACCCCAAACACATCACAGGAAGAGGCTGACCTTGGATGTATCAACAGCAACTAAGGGTCAATTTGTAACGAGAGTATACACAGCCCACACAATGGGCACACCTTGAGTACCCAGCTCGGGTAATAGGGAAGACTGTGCCACTGGACCCTACAGGACACCTACTACATTAGGCTACTCTACCAGGGCTGTGAGACATACAGCTCTAACTTATACATAGGAACACACACACAGAAAGACTGCCAGAATGAGGAGTCAAAGAAAGATTGTCCAAATGAAAGAACAAAACTCCAGAAAAAGAACTAAACAAAATAGAGACAAGCAAGCTACTAGATGAAGAGTTCAAAACACTGGTTATAAAGAGGCTCAGTGAACTGAGAACTTCAACAGCATAAAAAAAAGGCATGGAATCTGTAAAAAAGAACTAGTCAGAAATGAAGGATACTCTAATTAAAATAAAGAACAATTTACAGGAAATCAACAAGAAAGTGAATAAAGCTGAGAATCAAATCAGCAATTTGTAATATAAGGAAGCCAAAAACACCCAAACCAGAAGAGCAAGGAAAAAAAAACAACTATAAAATATAAGCATAGTGTAAAGAGCCTCTGGGACAACTTCAAGCATACCACCACTTGCATCACAGGAGTGCCAGGAGTAAAAGAGGTAGAGAGCACGAAATCAGAAACCTATTTGAAAAAATGATGACAGAAAACTTCCCTAACTTGGTGAATAGACATACAAGCCCAAACAAGATGGATGCAAAGAAGCCCATGCTGACACATCATAATTAAAATGCCAAAGGTTAAAGATAAAGAGAGACTCTTAAAGGCAGTAAAAGAAAAGCAGTTAGTTACCCACAGGGAAGTTCCCATAAGACTGTCAGCTGGTTTCTCAAAAGAAACTTTGCAAGCTAGAAGAGCTTGGCAAGAAGTATTCAAAGTGATGGAAAGTAAGGACCTACAACCAAGATTACACAGCAAAGCTATCATTTAGACAAAAAAAAAAAGATAAAGAGCTTCTAGACAACAAAAAGTTAAAGATGTAAATCTCCTCCAAACCAGCATTATATGAAATGTTAAAGGTTGTTCTTTAAGATGACCAAAAATATAAATAAAATGGCAACAAATACATATCAACAATTGAATAAAAAGCAAAGTAAACAAACAAGCAGAAGAGAAACAGAATCATAGAGAACATTTTGATGGATGCCAGACAGGCGGGGGCGGGAAAGGGTTTGGGAAGATGGGTTAAAAAGGTGAAAGGATTAAGTACAAATTGGTAGTTACAAGTCATGGGGATGTAAAGTACAACATAGAAAGAATACATTTGCATGACCCACGGACATGGACAATGGTGTGGGGATTGCCTGAGGGGGGGAGCTAAGTGGGAGGGGGCAAACTGGAAAATATTGGGACAATTGTAATAGCATAATCAATAATATATAATCTTTTTTTAAAAAAAAGAGCATATGTAACATAGAGATACAAGTTAAGATAAAATAATAAGCCAAATTCAGAATGTGAAAAACTACAGGACGGTTAAAACAGCATAGAAAAGAAAATGGGGAGTACAGAGAGGGGCTCTTAAAAGATAGACTTCAGAGACATATTAAGTAAATGGAATGTGTGACTTGGATCCTTATTTGAATCAACTGTAAAAAGGCACTTTTGAGACAACCTGGAAATTGTGAACATGGACTAAGTATTGGGTGATACTAATTTTGTTTGGTGTGATAAAGTCCTTGTTGTTAGAATTATTTCACGAATTTGTTTTAAAATATGACAAAAAGCATAGGGAGATTAAAACAAGTGCAGCAAAACGTTGACAGTTATGGAATCTGGGTGAGGGTACATTTTAATTTTGTGTCTATTTGAAAGTTTTATATAATAAAAACAAATTCAAAGAATATTCTGTAAACATCTATATTTAAAATATGAATACAAATAATTATTTTTGTCATAGTGCCTTGCTCTTGAGTTTGTAATTCTGGCAAAAAAAATGAGTGGAGGAGGAAAAAAAGATTGCTTAATTTAAAATAATGCTCAAATTGATGATTCAGGCAGTAAGCACAATAGCTCCAGGAAGAAATGAATATTACTGGAATTATTAGATAGTTGCAGGAATGATGTTTCCTCTAATTTAAAAAATTCAAAGGATATGTTTGTGCTTGTTCTGAATTTTCTCAGTCTAATCTGCAGACTAATTTGTAAATCCTGGAATTCTCTAGAAACAGAATAAAAACTCTCAAAAGTCTAGACAGTAAAAGAACTTGTCTTGCCCAGTAAAACAATTTGGTTTTGGAGCAAAATCTTAAATAGCAAAGAGATGCAGATATACCTGTAGCATAAATAAAATAGGTTTATCCACAAATATCTGTACAATCTTTTTAATACAATTATCTTTTTAGCATAATGTATACAGCTTAAAAATGTCTACAAACATTTTAATTACCAAATCAACAATGGGGCTGCAATATTAAATATTAAATGTCAGATAACAGGCTAAACTGATGCTGTTGCACTTGGTATAAATGAACACAGAATGATTACAACTAGTTGATCCATTAGGACACTAAAGCCCTAGCTGATATGGCTCAGTGGATTGAGCACTGGCCTGTGAACCAAAGGGTCACTGATAGGATTCCCAGTCAGGGCACACACCTGGGTTGCAGGCCAGGTCCCCAGTGGGGAGTGGACAGGAGGCAACCACACATTGATGTTTCTCTCCTCTTTCTCCCTCCTTTTCCCCCTCTCTCTAAAAATAAATAAATAAAATCTTTAAAAAAAAGAAACATACTTATAAAGTTTAAATTGTTACAAATTTTCAAAAAGCATCACAATTAAAAATCTCAAGATCTATGAAAAAGAATTTTTAAAAGAGCACTAACTACCTTGATAAACTATACAAACCATCTCATACTTGTCCTCATTTTCATTCATTTGTGGAAAGTGGTTTTTTTTCCTCTCCCTTTTCTCAAAGAGAAATTCCTGTAAATCATTGGTATCTCTCATCTACATCCAGTTCAATTTACATCTTCCTCAAGTCGTATCTCACCTTTAAAGCAAATACGAATCTAATAAATCTGATGAACAGCAACTGATTTCAAAAGCCAGGTTAAAAACAAAAATGCATTCTAGTATACATCAGTATATTATACATGCCAATACAGGTTAGTGTTAAAAACCTAAGTATTTAATACTTGTTTAAGAGGCTTAAAAGAAAGCTTTAATATCAGAATCTGAACTTAGGCTTTCAACTTCATTCCAATGAGTGGTTAAAGTAAGTAGGAATGATCAGCGGCATTACCTTGGACCAAATCAGCAGAGGCATAAAGACTACCAAGTGCAAAATGGTTTTCCAAGAGTGGTTTTAATTCTCTCTGGGTAACTAATTTTCTACCATTATACAACTGGAACAGCTTTCATAAAGTCACCAGTAGGAAATCACATTTCTTCCAGAAATCTACCTCCAGGCATCCACACCCTCCCTGACAAGAACTAAATCTACCCCACCCCCTCCCTCCCTTAAGTATTCCATTTCTTTCCCAAAGTAGAGCTTCCATAAATATTACAATATTAAGGGCTAAATTTTAATGAATACAAATCAGAGGAAATGAAGGAACATTAACTCTCATTCAAACCTTCCTTAAAAAAATCTGTTTCCAAGTTATATTTTTAACTTCCCCCATGGTTCTCTTTAAAAAAGACGAACACAAAAATCTCTCTGCTAATGATTTTATTCATGAATCTATAATGGAACTCAAAATAGCAAAGAACATGAAAAAAATTTCAGATTAATATTTATCAATCAAATACATCAAAGAATACATCTAGTTTTCATATAACTAACAAAAATGTCTAAAATGCACCTGTAAGATTATAAATATTTTCCATTTTGTGGAATTTCAAAGTAATAAAGATCTGCTTACTAGTTTGCGAGAAAGGCTCAGTTACACTGTCAAAGACATATAATTAAAAAGAAATGAAACATAACATAAAATAACCATCTCATGGTTAAACTTTTGATAAAGTGCTACTTTAATACCAAAAAAAGAAACTGTGAAGACTAAGAGAATATTAAATGCTGAACCATCATTATGAAAGTTAAAAACTTTTTTCAGTGTTCACTATATTTATCACAATCATGTATTGCCAATGAAACCATAAACATTATTTTGCAATTTTAAAATATCTTTTAGTTCACAGATTATTTCCTGGAAGTTAAAAATTACTACAGCATTGCTAAATCAGGCTTTTCATGATAACAGGAGTTTTTAGACGCAATAGTTTTTCATAGTTTTAAACATGACCTTTGGTTTGAAGCTGTCCTGATATCCTTTCTGGTTGATGGCTGTGGCTAGTATAATATTCATGAAACAGCACAGTAGCTTCATTTGAACCATAAAATTGGGACAATGGCAACAACTGCACACAACAAGAAATCTGGAAAGATGAGTTCCCCAAATCCATAACTGACATGGTTAAAGGAAATCAGTGTTGCTCAGGAGTGACTCACCTCATCAGTTCATTAACAGTATTAGCCATTGACAGGAAATTAGTTGGAAAAAAATCTGAATAAAGGCACTCAATAAAAACCTTAAGCAGATAAAGAAGACCAAACTGCATATGCAAGCATGGACGTGTCCACTCTAAGCACATATACACTTTTCATGTTTGAGGTTGAATATCAACTCTCATAGATTCCACCACAAGGAAAACTCTATGTCTGTATATGAAAACTCTATGATGTATATATCCTAGAGATGGGAACTAGCTGATGGTTTTCCAGAAATAATGACCTGCTAAATGGTGCAGAAGTTGGCCTTTCCCCAAAATGAAAGGTTATAAATTAACAGCAAAGGGATGCAATAACAATGGAAACTATAAGAAGCCATAAAGTTAAATCTCAAAAAGACAAGTTCAACTTCACAACTAAAGGCTGCTGATGATTTCTTCTCTCTCTCCTTGAATAATCAAATGCAAATGCCTTTTAGCAATGGTAGCATTCAAATCCCACAAGAAATCAAGTAGTGTCCCCTTAAGGAGCACTTCCATTGGCACAAACTGTAAAACTTGCTGGGGTACCTCAGAGTTAAGCAAAACACTCAACATTTCATTCACATTCTGCAGATACTGGAAAACTGCATTTGGAAGGTCCTGGTAACCAACACATAGCAGGACTGTACAGGTCTTTAGGGGTACAGAGGATGTGGGACAAGAAAACGTGATGAATCTAAAACAGCTGTGGAGTACAAAGATCAAACCAGCCATAAACCTTGTAAAACAAGAAAGTATAGGCAAAATCATAACATCGCCTATATTAAGCTGCTGTAATGAATGTAGAAGGCAGTCCAAAAATAACTGCTGGTAAGCTGGGTCTCCATCATGAAGCAATGAACTGGTAAAAGTCATGAGTTTGGTTGATTCAAGGAGCTGAACTTCCAATGGTATATGCATTTTGTTATCAGGAAGAGTTGGAAAACCTACAAGCAGGCACTTAATTTGGCTGCTGGGTTGTACAAACTGCTCATCTTGAAGGCACTTGGTGAGGCTAAACAGCTCAGAAAATATCAGTTCTTCAGAAAAAACATGACAAGAAGAACAATGCTGTTTTGGCCGCAACTTGGAATCTGAATCCAAAGCTCCTCCTAGTGATTTTTCAATTGCTTCATTAAGAGCCTTTAAAATTTCACCATCGCAAAAAGGAGAACACTTTACTTTTGGCAGTCTCTTTCCCTCTAAAATATGCCATAAGTGACACTCAAGATTGGAGGCTGTCCCTTCTAAAAGAGAACTTTTCCCAGGATGATATGAAACATGTTCCTCGGCCCAACTATTAAAGTATCCTTTGGCCACCTTATCCTTCCATGAAAGGGTTTCTAGCATTTTCCTTTCATTATAGGTTTTAAAATATCTGTTCCTTTGCCCAAACCATTTTGTATTTGTACTACAACCAATATTAGATTTTTTAACTAGCCAATTATTTCTGGAGAGAGGCTTCAACTGGTACTTCTGCATGAAATGTTCAACAGCACAGTCTCTCAACTTATTCAGCCTTGCTTGTTCCTCTTTTCCCATACACTCAAACAAACGAATGTTCTCAGAAATAGTCTCTAGCTGGTATTTATGAAAGAACACACAACATTCTTCATGTCTTTTAAGAAAAGATTCAGGAATCACATGATGAGGAAAAAGAGCTTTCCTGGTCATTTCACTCCCAAAATTCTGCACCATTTTAGATAACAGAGGATGGATTACCTCTCTCCCCTTATAGTGGAGACACACTACATAGACTTCTGAGTTTCCTGCCTTGCTTGTAGCAGGTTTAAAAACATGGACTTGGTCAAAAGAACAGTTTAGCAGGTACATCAGGTTTATGGAACAATGTTCAAATAAAGTAAACATCTTCAGAACAAAAGAGCCACCATTTCCAAGAGTCATCAGAGCAGTGACTACTTCACAGTAATGCAAAGAAGAGACTAAAGCTTCTTGTTCACCAGGATTTCCTTGGCAGTCAAAACTCCCATCAGCAGTGATTAAGTGAACAGTGGCCATGTTGCTTATGAAATTCTGAAGTCCAGTCAGATATTTCAAGGTCATGATATCACCGGTATTATCTGGACCAAAGTACCAATAATGCAAGGTATTCGCAATAAGTCGGTCATCCATAATCATCATAAGATTGTCATTTGCTTCATGGTATGGATTTAGAGTATTAGCTACCCAACTCCAATCACAAGGGAATCGATGGGATTTTAAGTAGTGATTGAGACTAGCTATAAAAGCTCCAGGAGCTTCACAAAGGTGTAGAGAATTCAGTTTTTCATTCTGAAAAGCTTCCTGTGGAATAACTGGAAAGCTGCACAAAATTTCATGAAACTTACACCATGCTTGAGTACAAAGTTCAGCAGTCATATACTTTCTCACATGAGAAATTATTTTTCCAGCTTTATTAGTAAAAGCAGTGTGCTTATGCCACTCATCCAGTTTCTTATCACTCAGTAGGTTTTTTACCTCATTTAGGGAGTTCTTCAAATCAAGAAATGCATTAAATTCCATGTGGTCACAGGTGAAAATCTCACTGGGATCTGGTAACTGCCACTCATTATTAAGTGGCTTGCCATAAGAAAAGTTCTTGGCAAAGAGTTCAAAAATGTCAGCAACAACATCTGGGCTGAATGTCTCAGTACTTGAACCCAGTGGTGGCTTTCTGCACTTACTCATTTCCAAATTAAATTAAAATCTAGAAAAAGAAAACACATAATTAAATGAATCAAATTTATTAGCGAGTAAAATCTCATCCACAGCAAATCAGATCACACTCAAGACAAACCACATAAAAATGGGAAAGCTAATGTTAACACACTCAGTTATATAATAAGGCAATTTGGAATAAAGAAAGAATAAAGGCTTTGATATCCAGCAGACCTGGGCTCGAATTTCAGCTCAGCCACTTACAGTGTAATAAGTAGCTTTGGGCAAATAACTTTACATCTTTGCTTCTCAGTTTCTTATTTTAAAAAAATTGAGGTATCCTTTTTTTAGAGGAGGAAAAATATGCTACTATATACCAAAAAACCTACAGAATATTCATCAGTGAATGGCAGCTCTTATTACTATAGTAACCTTTCTAGTTTCCCCAGAAAGTCCTCCTCTACCCATGACTGAGACATTACCCACAGAGCCCCAAACACACTTAGACTAAGATTCATCTCCAAACATGATCTCTGATCATTTGATTAAGCTCAAACAAGTGACTTTTAGCCTTTTTTTTGGTTTGTTTGTTTGCTTGCTTGTTTTTTTGTTCCCTCCAAATTTCACTTCCTTCCAGGAGAAGATCCTGCAACTGATCCCAACACTGGTACTGCTACCAGGCCTCTCTACCACTATCCACTTATTCACCAACAAGAATTGTCAAATATTTCCTCTGTCCAGATCTTACTCTTTTGTTAAGACATGCACTTTGGTGGTACCAAATCACATTTGTAAGTCACCAACTAACACTCATCAACATACTATTAACAATGATATACTTGACTAGTTAGTTTCCTTCTGCTCAGTGCTGAAAATGATCTACAGTTCACCCTGCCATGTCTAAACTATTTCAAATTCCTGCCTCATCTGGTCAGTCAGACAGCTCCATGCTCACACTATAAAAGATTATTTCTTCTTGTCACTAAAACTGAACATACTCTGATAGAAGAATTTTAAAATGAAGAATATCATTGAATACACAAATTACAAATAGTCACTCTACATTTTGTGTTCTAACACTGTCTAAGGAACCAAAAACATCAGTCCACCAGAAATGGAACAGGGCATAAGAGAAAGAAGCATAACTTAATGGCATATTGGACAAGTTCTCAATTCCAGCAGATAGAGCAAAGAGTATTACATGATACAGTTGACTCAAACACTGGGTTGGAACTGCACAGGTCCATTTATATGTGGAATTTTTTCCTATAAATACTATAAACATACTTTCTCTTCTTTATGATATTAACATTTTTCTCTAGCTTACTTTATTGTAGAAACACAGTTAAGTAATAGAGAAAATGTGTTAACTGCTTATGTCATCATTAAGACTTCCAGTCAACAGTAGGCTATTAGTAGTTAAGTTTTGAGGGAGTCAAAAGTTTTACACAGGGGTTGGCACCCTAACACCTGTGTTGTTCAAGGGTCAACTGTGCTTGTTAACACAATGTAAAACAATAGATTTAATTCATGAGTGCTGCATTTATTCAGAACATCCAATGCACCCAACACAAGTTTTCAAAATGAATGTAAATTTGTTAAACCTGAAATAACTGACAATCACCATCCCACAAAAAGCCAATGTTTGATCATTAAAATGGGAAATAAAGGTGAGCTAGCTCCACAATAAATAAATAATATCCAGAGGACTGTATTTTTATTAGCATTTACTTTTACTGTTCTTTCGGCAGTGTGTTTACTAATTTATCATTCCGAGGTTAGAACAGTGCCTCGTGCACTGTAAACACTCAATAAGTTATTTACCAAAAAAAGAATGGATATTATATTTAGCACCAAAGGCACTCCTCTGATTAGGTTCTGAATATGAGCCATAACAACGCACTTCAACTTCATTCCAGCACTTCAATGCATGACAAAAAAAAAATGGTTTAAAAAGTATTTAAAAAGTTTCCAGCATATGTTCCTCTCCTCTTTCATTAAGCACTCCATAGAGCTTTGTGGCATCATAATTCTCCTAGAAAGGTATTACCATTCTTATTTTGCAGACTCGAATAGGAAGTCACGTACCCCCTACCCACAGCCACAAAAGAAATACCTGCAAAATTCACGTAAGACAAAACCCACTTGACGGCTGTTACCTCTCCAATTAACACAAAGGAGTTTTAGAAGTGTTTCCGCCAACTCTTTCTGCCAGCAACAATGAAAGTAACAGCTAATGTGCATCCAGCGCTTCAAGATCTTTCAGTTGGTGGAAGCCCCATTTACGAGGCCCGTTCTCTGACCTGGAGGAACAGGTCCCAGCCCCTGCCTCACCCACCGCCCTGTGAAAGGACGACCCGCGCTCGGAACCCGGGCCTGGATTACCTTCGCTCACGCCCACCTCGGACCCCAGAGCCTAGAGAGGCGGTGCTTCACTCGCTCTCCTCACTCGAAGGGGCCATTCTCCACTTCCATTCCTGAGGGTCTACGGCAACCCCCACCGCAGAAGAGTGAGGCGACCCGCCAGAAGACCCAGAAAGAGTCGCAAACCCGTCCTTCGGATACCAGGAGCGGAAGCGTACCTCCAGACGGCGATTGACGGCGGCCGACAGTGGCCGGAGGTCCCTCACAAACACACTGCGCACGCGCCTCGAGGCCGGGAGGACGTCGCGCGTCAACGTTACGCACGCCCGCGATTCTCGCAGTGCTGAGCGCTCTGTTCTCTCTATTTTGCTTCTTCTTGGGGTACTGAAGCTGGGAAGCGCCTGCCTTTCTCTCAGCGTTTAAGGCAACGAAAGCTGCGCGCGCAGACAGAGCGCCTTTGGTTCCGCCCCCTCGGTGGCGGGGTGGAATAGGGCGGGGCAAACTTATCCAGGTCACGCTGGTTCCGCCCCACCTGGACCCTGGACTGGGGAGGCTTAATTGACATACACCTTGCAGAAGGCGAACGTTGAAATGGCCTTACACCTTAATCCAGCAATTCCCACTCCTAACAACTTATCTTTAGTAAACAATTGATACTCACTTTGCACAAAATGTTTATCTCAGCACCTTAATAACAATAAAAAAAATCGGTAATTAAATTCTTTATGGTACATCCATGTAATGGAGTATTGTGCAGCCGTTAATAGGCTATGTGTGTCAACGGTATTGCGTGAAAATAGGAGACTATAGAACTGTGTGTAGAGTTTGAACTATTTTATGTAAGTTTTAAATATGAAAAATACATTTTTTACAAGTCTTACCGGAAGTGCATCAATGGAAGGAAAAAAATATCTTCAAAAGATGGTACTAGGTCATTTGAAACTCCATGTGGAAAAACTTTATTTGGGCTCTTCACATAAACAAAAATACGATTCACTTGGATTGCCAGCCGATATTTCGTAAGTCAAACAATAACTCTTTCAGCAGAAAACATCAGAGAACATCTTTGTGAACTCAAAGTAGGCAAAATGTAACAGGACAGAAAATACTAGTTATAAAAGAAAAATATAAAATTGTACCATATTAAAATTGAGAATGAAAGGCGACCTACAAGCTGGGAGATGATATTTACAATAATGTACCTGTGTATGACAAAAGACTTGTATCCAGAATATATAACTTCTACAAGTGAAAAAACTCCTACAAGAAATATGAATTTTCCCAGTGGGATAATAGGCAAAAGCCTGGTACAAACACTTCAAAAAGATGAGACCCACACAGGAGGCTGATAAAATATGAGAAGATGTTCAACTTCATTAGTCTTTGGGGAAATGTAAACTAAACCCTTAATGAGATACAGTTATATATTAGACTGACTAAAATGAAAAAGATTGAAGATATTAGTGTTGCAGAGTATGAGAAGCAAGCAACTGAAGCTGACTGAGAGAAAAAGATCATCCATGATCTTTTGTTTGTTGCTCTTTTTCCCCCAATTTTTCAAGGTGTAATGTATATACAGTCAAATGCTCAGATCTTAAGTATACTATTCAACCACTTTTGCCCAACAACTTGGAATATTTCAGAAAGGCCCTTGAGCCCCTTCCTAATCTCCCTCCCACAAGAAGCAACCACTGATCTGTTTTCTGTCGCCAGAGTTTAGTTTTACCTATTACAGAATTTTGTATAAATTCAATCATTACAGTTTAATAATTTTTTGTTTCAAGTTCCTTTCCATTCAGTGTAAATAACATATATTTATATGGTAGGGGAAGGAATTTTTTTCCCATTCAACCCTTCTAGGTTCTCATCTGAAACTCTGTAACAAAAGATAAACAAAAGGAAAGCCTACTAACATATTTTACTAACATATAAATTTACTAACATATTTTGTGACATGACAGCCTTACCAAATAAATAAAGACCAAAAACTGAGTGTTTTTATATTAGGTTTAATGAGCAGTGGGAAAATATAACAAGTGGCTATGAACTAAGAGAGGCAAACTGGGGAAACTTGCAAGGCATGCTCATTCAAATTCCTTTTGGAGCTCTTCCATCTTCAGAGAGAAGGATATTCTTTTCCTTCAGGTATAGAGAGAACATATATCACATGAGAGTCTTATGACCTACTTCAGGGCAAGGTCAGAGAGTCCTGCACCTACCATTCCTCAAATTCCTTCAGCTATAAAATATCCAATATGCCAAGGCACCATAATTTGGGGTAGCATGTTCTGAACCCTGTTGATTTTCATCCATGTTGTGTATGTATCTGTAGTGTGTTCCTTTTTATTGCTAAGTTAGTATGTCATTGTATGACTAGACTACGACTTAATTATCTATTTTCCTGTTAGTGACATTTGAGTTCTATTTCCAGTCTGGGCCTCTTATGGATAAACCTGATATGAACCTTCTAGTACAAGACATTTTTGTGAGCATATGTTTTGGTCTTTGTTTGTTTTTTACTCTTGGGTAAATACCTATGTGTGGAATGTCTGTGTCATGGAGTAGATCAGGGTTTCTCAATCTCAGCATTATTGTCTTTTGAGAATCACTGAGGTAGATATATGTGTAACTCTTTAAGAAACCTACAATTTTCCAAAGTGCTTGAACCATTTTACATCCCTACCCACAACATGTAAGAATTCTGGTTGCTTCACATCCTCACCAATTTTGGTGTTATGAACCTTTTTCATTTTAGCTATTGGTGGGAATTGAGTGCTTTCCCCATGATTCTTAATAAAAAGTAACTAAAAATGAAAATCTGTATATATTGTTCTTTTGTGGGACTAAAGGCTAGATGATTGATATGTGATCTCCCTGAACACAATCACTGTGATCCCTGAGGTCTGTAAATATTCCAAACAACAAAGCTTATAGTGAGCCAGTCTTTACTAAAATAATCACGTTAACTATCATTTTGAGTATATAATATGTGCTAAGCACTGAAAACTGCCTCTTAAAAAAAAAAAATTTAATCCTCTCAACAACTCCATGAGGTAGATTCATGTATTGTCCCCATTTTATAAGCAGAGAAATCAAGGATCAAAGTGATTGACCAATTTGCTGAAGGTCATGTAGTCAGTAAGTAGCAAATTAAGGGTTTGGATCTATGTTAGCCTGATTCCATGGCCAATCTGTTCTGCAGGGAATTCCTAGAAATTGCATCCAGTAATTTAAAAACAATTTTGTAGCCCACATTCATGGCCAGAAATACTTACAGAAGGCCAGTAATTTCTTTTTAAAAGATGTTTCATTAACTTAGTCCTCAATGCAGGAGGGTAGATTGTTGCAAAATTTTTTTTAAAAGATGAAATGTTATGAATAAATAAAATCAGCATCTGAAATTTTAAAAAGTTGAAAGAAAATAACCAAGCCCTGTACTAATGTATTTGCAAGTTTTGATAAAAACGTGCAGCTATGTGAATGCTCTTAGTATCAACTTTTACTTATATTTTAAAAAGCTTACATAGCATCTGAGTGGAAGCTAGCTATAATCATTCTTTCCAATTCCTGAATGTTCTTTACACTCAACTGGCATGACAATGAGAACATAAGTAGTATATAGAAGTTAAAACAACCCACTCCTCAGCCTCTGCTCTGATTATATTTCTCTGTCAAAGCAAACAGAAACCAAACAACTTCTGTGGTCATTTATCACCAATCAACTTGCTGAGTCTCTAATTTCATTCTCAGACTGACTCTGTGAAGTGACAATGTACAAATTGTAGTTCCAAAAACCAGAGGGAGTTTTTTTTGAGTGATGGAAATGTTAAATATCTTGACAGGGGATTTAGGTTAGAGATATACGTATACATCAAAACTCACCAAATGATATAATTAAGATTTGAGCATTTCACTAAAAATAAGTTTTACCTTAAAAAAAGAACCCTGAACAAATATTGAACTCTGTCTAAATATATGCATGCTGAAGTGTTTAGAAAAGAAATATATTGACATCTGCACCTTACTTGGGAATGCATCTTACATAAAATGCATTAATGGATGGATTGAGGGCTGGATCAACGATAATGTAAGCAATTGCAAAATGTTCACAATTATAGATTCTAGGTGGTGAACACATGTCTGCTTGCTATGTAATTCAGCTTTTCTCTGAAATTTTTTCATAGTAAAATATTGGGGGAAATAGAAATTCATATCATAAAAGGCAAGAATGGAATCTCTTTCCACTAGAAATTAAATACATACATATATACAATATGTATCTAGTATTTCCCACTAACAAAGGAAATAACATTGGACTTGCTGGAGACCAACCTAAAGTTCTTAGGGCTCATTTAATCCATTTACGTGATTTAGTGAACTCCATCAGGCCTGATTTTGCCCTTTACACAACCCTAAATATTTTCTATTCTTTGTCACTTAGTGTTTCACTTCCTTTCTTCTTGCCTCATGGAATGCACCATTGTTTAAGTGCAGGAAAATAAGAAGACACCGATGTTAAAATTCCAGAAGTCAATGAAGGTTATAAACCTGATAATAATTCTTCCAGTTTCCCTCATGATAATCTTCACTAGATCAAGTTGTCAAAAGCAATGTTATAAAAAGAAAATACAGTACAAATTATAACTAATTTGCTTTTTCTGCTATTGGGTAGAGCAGCTACATTGTGGTTATTTGTAGGAAAGTGCTCGAAAACAGCAGCCTGAAATCTCTTTTCTTACTGTTTAGAAACTGAGTAAAAATTATGAATGCAAATCATTTAATTTTTAAGCATAAATGCAAGAATTCTAAGCATCAGGTCATGAAAGCAGTTTTTGTCTATTTTTGGCCCTGTAATACACAGTTAAACTTCATTCTGCATTTTAATAAACATTCAGGAGTAAAACAAAATATAAAATTTCTTTCTTAGAATTTATTTTCCAGCAATTCATATTTTTTCTTACATAGTTAATCTTAAACAGAGTGAGTCACTTGCTAAATGGGGAAAAGTTTCAAAATGTATTTTTATGTTATGAATATCATTAAAGAATATATTTAAAATAAACTTTTAAACAACATTGATAATACAAGCATTAATAATTCGCTGACCTAAAATATGTTTTTACTTTAAATCACTTCTTTATCTTCTCCCATGTAAAAATGATCGAAATTACTTTTAAAAACTAAGGGTTTAAGAGAGAATGAATATTACTGTGACATGTGCTCAGGATTAAAAAAAAAAAGGTTGGGAAACTCTGACATGTGGAAT